GTTACCTGGTTGTACCTTGTAAGAGTGTGGATTTCATGGGGACCAATTAGATGGTGGCTATTTGACCTTAGCCCTAGAGGGTGGTCCATCGTGTGCATGTGTGTGATGAGCACAGATAATGAGGGTCAGGGCATCGACAAGGGGTCTGGAGAAAGAGACACTGTGTTCTACCAATTAAGGAGAGAAGGGATTAAGAAAGGTGAAGGACTGTTGACGAGGGGAGGATGAACATGAGAGTGAAAGGAGAGGCGGAGATTAGACTTCAGAAGTTTTCTACATATGGCAGTTGATTAGGGAGTGGGCTGGGGTCCAATTATAGACCTGCCACCCACAATCGCACAAAAACACTCAGCGGGGAGCGCTGTTGTGGTAAATAAGTGGTGCTGAAGTGAAGGGTATGTGCTAATGATTTCCTGTGGAGGCTTCTAATATTTTACACTTAATTTCTACATAAAATAAAGTGCTGGAAAAAAGATCAGTATGTATAATTTAGGCTGTCACATGCAGATAATGCCCAATGTAATATCTAATGTGTTGTCTGGTCATTTGTGGTACATGTTTGTGCATGACTTTGTGGTTCTTGTAGTATGGGTGATGTTGTGTTCCCGCTCACATGAGACACATACATTCTTGTGAGTCAGTGTTTTTCCTGAGACCTGTCCCACAGGAAATCCCCATTTACTGCCAAATGGGTTCACTGTTTTATTATCAGAGATACCACAGGGATCTTGCTGTGTGTTGATTTTATTCCTGGGTGCTTAACTAAGCAGAAGCCGTTCCAGTGGCTCTAGTATAGAGTATGTTCCCGTACGATATGATTTAAAGGCCATCCCTTCATAAAGGAATTGGCATGTAGCGTGAAAAAAAAAAACCCCAACTTTCTTCCACGCCTTGGCAGCGCTCCCTAATTGTTCCACCTCGGTACAGTGATGCACACAGAGATCTGAAATCCTCCCTTAGTCATCGAAGAGCACACAGCTCAGTGTGTAGCCAGAATAATTCAGTTTGAAAAGTGCAAAATGCTCAAGTTGCAATGGAGCAAATTTATCTCTTTGGGCAAAGCTCCCAGTTATGGGAAATGCTGCATATCAGTGATAGGCAGCACAGCCGAGCAGCTGTGTCAACACTCTGAAAGCATACTTGTGCCTCACTATGACATTTTTGCATTTTTTATGCTCCTCTGCACAAACACAGCCTATATCATCTGATAAAGAATATTGACACACTTCCTTATGTTAATGTTTGTTTGTTGTGAGGAAGTATATTCTTGCATCTCTTGTGAACATGGACTGTAGTCATTATCAGATAAACCTTACAGCTGAATCCCAAGTGAGGCCTTATCTTTTTATAGCCTGTTTGTAACTGGGTCTTATTTGGAGGTATAGTTGTGAAGTGTGTCACCATACAGTTTCAGAGCAAGGTCTTTGTGTTTGCTGTGTTAATGTATTAATAATTATACAATTAAACGTTATGACCTGCTAAAAAAGTTTAAGTATTAATTCTTGAGATGGCCCGTTGTGTGAGATTTAGCTGATATTTTATTTTTTGCCAGTAATAAATATACTTAGAAGCCAGACAGTTTGCTAGCTAAAGTTACAGTAGTAACTTAAGTCAGTTTATTAGGTAGTTCATTTTAGCCAAAATGGCTTAGGTCAGCCAAAATAATACCTGCCAAAATATCTGGTTATATAAGTTATAAAATAGGTAGTCACGGACATCTAAATATCCGTAACAGCTAGATAGCTATGGCTTAGTCATGTAGTAGCTAAAAGGTAACCCAAAGACAGCTGGATTTAGTTAAAGAAAGCAAAATGTGCTCTAGAAGTATTTGAATTTAGCAAAATTATAGCTCCAATTTAAAAAAAAAAAAATGTTAGCACCAAATTGCTAATTCTAAGACAAGGCAATTAAAATTGCTAGATGGTAGCCTAGAGATGGCCAAAAATAGAAGGAAGTTGGCCAAAATAGCTAAAAGGTAGCCAACATATATATAGTTGTTAACATATATATAGTTAACCATTACATATTTTAGTATACATTTTAGTTGTTAACATAACCATAACCATTACATATTTTAGTATACATTTGAAATCACCCTCCTTTACAAAGTTTGAGTCTTCTTTTCTTTTTTTAAAATTTCTTGTGCACAATCGTATTTTACAACTTCTTTTCTTTTTTTTAATTTCTTGTGCACAATCGTATTTTACATTTGAGTCTTTGATTTGGACTTTTGAACCGTGAGCCACATACTTAGTTGATTTATGTATGTATTTAATTATGTATTTAAAAACACAATTATTGTTGCCCGTGTTTGCACAGCTTTGCAGGAGGAACAAAGTTGATTGTTTGCAGTGTGTATAGCGTGCAGAAGATGAACAAACATGATCCATCGTGGCCCTGGATTTGCAAGCTTGGGTTTCACTGCAAGAGAAAGAAGTGTTCCGTGTTGACATTTGCAAAAGAGCATATCTGGCATCAGGTCACAGGCTTGAGATAATCACTCCATGAAATTGGATTTGGACCATTTTACTCTGGTTTCAGTGAGTAAAAAGCCATCGCAGTGAAGTAATAGTTTTACTTGTATTTATAAATGCACATTTACTAACTTATATATATTTTTTATAAATATACAAATAAACTTGATACAATTCCTATCTTAACCATTTGTTTCTGTTTCTATTTGAACCATTATCCTACCAACCTTCCCTCTCCCAATCCAAACACCCCCTTCCAACCATTTCTGTGTTAGCCAACCTTGGAGCCCAAACTAAAGGTAAGGTTCAGGTTTGTCATGCCATAGGACATAAGCAAAGTATAGTATAGTATAGTGAAGTACGGTATGGCATCCCTAAGTATGGTATGGTCTGATATTTAGTATGTTTTGTCAATGATGTTTATACCACCATATGAATTTGAATCAACCTTTTTCTTTCCAGTAATACAAAAGGCTCCTTTAAAAACGTTTTTAAATATTGCAGCCTGTGTGTCTGTGTCAGTTCTCATTCCTCCAGATCATCTCATCCAAAGCAGTTACATCAAGGGCAACTGGACTGCTTCAGTTTCTTGAAGACGTTTCACCTCTCATCCAAGAGACAAAATTGTAGAAGCCTCTTGGATGAGTGGTGAAACATCTTTAAGAAAGTAAGACAGTCCAGTCGCCCTAATGTGACTGCTCTGGATAGGCTGCAGTGTCTTAAAACAAGAATGAACTGGAAAATGTCATTTAAATGAGACAAGTGACAGCATTCATATTGACATTTTCTCTTGAACAGAGTTTGCATAACTCTTATTTATGTACCTGTTCCTCATTCTGGGCTAATCTTTCATTCTACTTCCTTATTATTGCTTTTATTTGTTTTGTTGTTTATTGTTTTGTTGTTTCTGGTTATTTTAGGGTTTATTTTCTGGGCTAACCTTTAGCTCATTTGTCTAAACAGCTGTTAATTGTGGGCTAATATATTGCTATGGTTTAGGTACTTCATCTAAATTTGGCCATCATTTAAGTTTAACTTCAAATCTCCTTATGGCTACTGACTGAACCAGCCTTTATGCTGGAAACATATTTAAATACGCAGTGATTGTACCTCACACTACCTATAAATCAAAGACCATCTGTGATGGCCACTGCGTCTGTGTTCATTGTGTAGCCTTCTCATAAATACTGCGATTGTATGTTGGCTCCTGACATTTCAGTGGGTTTGCAGGGAGACACTTCTGTCTTCTACCCATCTGGTGTAGTCGGTGATGATGCTGATGACGCTATGACTCATCTGTCACTGTAATGACAGGCAATCTGGAGCATCATCGCTGTTTACCCGAATGTCTGGACGATATTGGTGGATTAGTGAATGACCACTTACCACCGTAATCACAGGGCCATTGGAGTTGTGTGTGTGTGTGTGTGTGTATAATCACAGGGCCATTGAAGTTGTGTGTGTGTGTGTGTGTCTGTCTGCAATGATGATGCTGATGACTGGTTGATTCAAGCTTCTGTACTGTTATTATGATGCGCATGAATGAGAACATGACACCAAGCAGAATGTCTTTAGTATTTGAAAATGCTGCATGACACCCAACAGTGTATTTAAGTCAGTGTTGGCGTTCTGCATTTTCTAAGTTAACGAGTATTTATAAATCTGTCCCAATTTCCGACACATTTTTACTTAGACTGTTAAGAATCTCAGCTCTGTGGTTGCTTTCTGTTTATAATGAGCTAATACAGCCATAAGTATAATTTGTGTGTAAATAATAAAATTAATATTTTTGAGTTAATTGCATGTTTAAAAAGAAGGTCAACGATTGTTTGAAATGTCCTTACTTTGTTCTGCTGATTGTTGTTTCTTGTCTTAGACTCTACTAAAAACACAATCATTTGCTGTTTGAACAGAACTAAATTGTCAGTTACGAACACTCCCTGAGATACCTTTACTGATGTTACAGATACAGCAGGGATTGGTCTCATTTTCCCATAAACATTCATTTAAAATTCAGTAAATGAGTCACCCCAGGACTGTTTACTGTTTCCTAACAGGAGATGGTTGAACACTTAAAGCACTTAACACCAAAGTCAGAGTTGGAGTCGGTCTTGAAGTCCGGGTCCCTTGAGAAGGGTTTGAGTGAAGTGTGAGTTGAATCTTCAGGGTGTGAGTCAGACTGAAAGACAGAAGAAGAGTCTGAGACATGGGAGCACATTTGAGTCTGAAGGAAGTTAATTTCTCTGGCTAAATCTTCTTTTTCAGCCACCCACAGTTTATAACCCCAAGTTAAAATTCCAGTTATAAAAAGTGTTAATTTTTGTCATTTTTTTTGCTCTAGTCCAGTTACCTCCTGTTGTAAGTGGATTTGGATAAAAGCAAATAATTCTGTCCTTATTCCAGCATGGATTTTCATCCTAATATATTATCAAAATATGCACCAATATATTACTTATTTACTGTATGTGCTGATCTATTTGATAGTATCCGTTTCATCCAAACAGCTTTGTTTCTGTGGTTTTCCAGGAACCCAACAGTGGACCACCCACCCTGGTTACTCTAAAAGTGGACCCCGATGGGTTCTTCCTCTACTGGACTGGAGGGTCCAATCTGGTAAGATGCACACACAGAAATACACACATACCCACCAAGTGCTTGATGCAAAAGTGCAGACTGCTGACTGTCACTTATCTCCCAAAGTAGAGGAGCTCAAGTGCTAAACTAGCTGCTCTAAGTCAGACCACAGTGGGCTTTTAATGTACCATCCTAAGTGCCAATATGGATATTCCTCTTGTTCTCTATTGGCTTTAACTCTCCCACTTAACCACACTGCAGCTCTTCCAACTTTGACGTTCTTAACTGCGGTTTATTCCCTCCCTTCCTCTTCTCTCTCTTAGTGTCTCTTTGTTTTCTGCTATAATTTTATCCAGTCCATTAGTTTGGCCAAAATGGGTTTTATCAATTTGCCTGCATCCCTTTTTTCACCATCTCCTTGTTCCCTGGTGTCTCTTTGTGGTCTTCGTCCACTTTTACCATCCTCTCATCCCCATCCCTCGCTTCCCTGCTTAAGTCATTACTGCGAATTTACTGCTTACAGCATTAGGGAGGAATCATTAGCAGAAAGCAAGAGAAGATCCATGTGTACGTGTGTGTCTATCAGAGATGTTTGGAACGCATTGGATAAACCGAATTAAAGATCAGAAACAACAGTCTTTGTTTCATGACGTAAGTGCAGCTCCAGTCCGTCCTGAGTGTGGATTATTTCCTGGTCAGATCATGTAATGCCAGGGAGCAGCACAATTAGCTCTCCTCTGCTACACACACACACACACACACACACACACACACACACACACCAATACTTTATTCCCTCTTTATCTTTATCACACATTTATCACACACCCACATATCTTTATTCCCTCAAAAAGGTTATCCAAAATGACCTGTTGATGCGTGTTTATGTTAATATTATCAACAAGCTGCGTTTGCCCACATGTTCGGCCATGTGTGTCCGTGTCTACATATGTGGCCCACACACCAGCATGTCTGTCAGCACACGTGTCAACATGTGCTCACACACTCACGGTGTCTTTGTGCTCATTTAATCCTGGCGTGTTCTATCTGTGTAAGATGGTGTGGTGTTTAGATAGTAGGTCATTTGTCGCCCGAGGAGCCACGGTGACACTGTTTCACAGAGTCAAATCATATTTTCATTATGATTATGGTTATTTATTCTGATGAAACCATCTTCACACTCTGACTGCGGTTGTGTTCATATAATGAAAAAAGAAGACGTTGTGTAGAGAAGATAAGTCAAGAGTTGGTATCAAGGAAAAAATCATCATCATCATTTGACAATGAACCTTGTCAGTGCATTTATGAATAATGATGCATTCATTGTAAAGGGAGGGAGGTTTACAGGGTGGAGTTTCCTTTCAAATCATCATTTAGTCACTGAAACTGTGTTCCAAACCTTTTCTGTTTCTGCAGCAGGTTAGTTGGTCGTTCCTGCTCACCCTGTTCAACTGTGGTTAGAATGATCTCTGTGTGACTTTTGGGAGGGTTTATTTGAATAAAATTAAAGCTTATTATGTTTAAAAACCTGTGTAAACACCCTGACAAAAGAAAATAATAATTTTTTTTTTTTACCAGGGAAGTGGATAATTGTTTAGTTTTGTTTTCTTGCTCCCTAAAAGTTCATCTAAGGACATTACTACTCCCATGTCTGTGGGTAAAGTATGAGAACCTGAGCTTACAGAATATGCTATATATGTTTGCATATATTATACAAATTGGTTTGATTTTGGAGAGTCCATAATGTTAGAGTCCTAAACTGGAAATGTGATGTGATATATTCTGCTGATATTGTACGGTAACCTTTTGAAAACCTCCGTACATGTACTGCGTGTGAGGTGCTGTTACCCTGACCTTATAAACAACAATTCACCTAAAGGTAAATCTGCTTTTTTTTTTAATTCCATTTCTGCTCATACAAGGGAAAGTCACTTAAATCTTGCAATGTCAATTTTTAATCTTTTCCGCCCCCATTTACATTTTATTAAACCTAATACATGATAGCATTACTAAGTGTAATGTTCCCAACAGCGCCCAGTGTTGTTTGCATATTAGATAGATATGGACCAGGAATCCCCTTTTAAGAAATGTTTGCACAGCACTTCCAGGTCCATCTTTGTTGTTGTACTGTTTGGTGCAGAATTCCGCGTCATCATACTTTAAACTGAGCAGGGTAGGGCAGGTGCACATAGTACACCTGGAATGAAGCTGAACCAGCTAAATTAGCACTAGTTCCGACTCAGAGGTTAGTGCAAAATCTGTCTGCTTTTGAATGAGACTGATGTCATTGTCAGGCCCCTTTGCTAAAAGTTATAACTCTTCAGGTTATTTAGACGGAGGCCTAATAACCACCGGGTGGCAGAGACTAGCCCTTAAGGAATTTGAACCACGTCGGCTAATAACTTTTATCAGCATGACTGAAAAGTCGGCATCTATGTGTCCAAAAATGTACAGGTTTTGGACACATATTTAAACTGTAATCTTTAGTGCTGTAAGAAGAAGTTTCAAATGTTGCCTTTCCTGAACACCACTGGTTTTTCTAGGTACAATCTGGAAATAAAAGCAGTTTTGTTGGCTACTGTGCTCCATACATGCAAAATAATATTTTTCATGGTGCCATCGAAGATTGTATCAACAGTTTGTTGTTATAATGTTTACCTGGAAATATAGGAGAACTGGGAAACAGTTCATTTGACTCAGGTGCCAATGCATTTACCTTTGTTTTTTTAATCCTTTGTTAAGAGTGGCATTGTGTTCAGGGTTCTAACGTTGCTCAGTGCTGGTCACTGTCTGAAGAAGGCATTGACACATTCACGTGTCAAAGGCCAATTATGTGGACATGTTGGTATGGCATTTAGATTCTAAAATAGCCCTGCGACAAAGTTGTACTTTAAAGCTCTCTGCAGTAATTACTGTTGTTTCTAGTATTTCTAAGAAAATTCCTCACCAGTCAAACCCTGTGGTCAGGGCTGTGATGCCTTTTTTCGTTTCTTCAGCTTGTCTCTATATTGAGTTTCTACCGTGACGCAAGTCAAATTTGGCAAGTCGACATGAAAAGGGAAATTTTACTCTCCTACAGTTCTTCTCCACTCTGTGGCAAGGTGAAAATAAGTGTATCCAAATAACTGTGGCTTCAGTCACCTTTTCTGACTGTGATAATGTTAACACAGTCACGACTACTGTATATAGGAGATGGGATCGACTGAAGTGTCAAGACTGAAGAGTTTTTTGATTTTCTCGAGCGAAGCCTTTCTTTGACTTTGTGACTTCCCAGGAGATTTCAAATCTGAGCTGAATTAAAGGAGGACATGGGAACATAGATAATGAGAGTACTTGATAGACTTTAACGGAGATGACAAGGGTATTCTGGATGGAACCCATTTCTCTGAATAGAGGTACCTAAAATATTTAGTCTCCTGTGTGTTTTTAAACATTGCTGCTCTGCTCTTCTTATCCATTTAGGCTGTGAATCTTCAAGGAGGAAATATTGGCCAGATACTAATTAAATTGATAAAATATTGGAAGAAGTATTATAAAGTCAGGATTTTACCGAAATGTCTTAAATATACGTTTTTGCTTAAGATAGTACAGGTACTTCAACAGTTTAGTTAATATTGTGCTACAGAACATAGTTTATTTTAATGGATGTGCTGGCTGATTCCAAGTTGTGAACAATGTTCTTTTAATTTTTGTCCAGTTTATAAAAAGTGTTTTATAAAAATATTTAGTGTTGTACAAACACAATATCTGACTTTAAAATTGACGTTTGGAACACGTGCACATTTCATTTAGCAATTTATTCAGTGGGTATTGTTCAGAAATGTTATTGTAATTTTAGATATAAGGATGATATTGATATGACTGATCTTTAAACACTTTTTGAAGTTGATGGTAAAATGTCCCACATTGGATCCCTCTTGAGCTTCTGTAGAATTTCACCTTGCAGCTAGTTATTGATACTGTAACGTGCAACTGCATGAGAGAGGGAAGAAAAGACAATACGTTTTGTGCATTCAATCAGGTGCAATGATCCAGGACAGTTCTGTACTGAATCGTTATATGGAACAATGTTGGTACATCTGATCTACAGCATAAAACTGTCCAGCTTGTTGCTAGCACCATTCAAAGAAAAGAGGCAGAGAAGAGAGAGGGACAGAAAGAAGTAGAAAGAGGCTAGAATGTTCCACACTTGCAGTATTCAAGGCAAAGAAGGACACAGTACTGACACTGCGTTTTATGTAGGACAGAGATGAATGTGTAAAATAGCTCAGCCTCTGTGGATTTAGGTTTACAGGGACTCAGCATATTGAGAATTTTCAAAGCAGCACACAAGCTATTCCCAAACCACAAACATGAAGAGAAATTTAAGCTGAGTCACTTTGTTTTTCTTTTTGCAGTGACAAGACGATTGGGTCACTCAGCTCCAGTAAAGGTGTCAGCGTGTAAGCTAGTAGAACAGCAGTTTTTTTTTTTGTTTTTTTTGCGTCATCAGAGTTTCTTTCAGTTTTATCCCAATTGACTTCAGTTGCATCATCTGTCTGTCTCCTTTATTAAATTTTACATTTCCTTCCTAAGTCTTTATCTTCTTTCCTTTTGTGTATCTTAGTCCGAGGCAACTGAATCCACTTTACTTTTAATCGCCCTGGTCCCTTCCTCTATAAATTTTCTTCTACTCCCTTTCTCTATCTGTTCTATGTCACTTTCTCGTGGACACTCAGTTTGTTTAACATTATTATTTAAATATTCCTCACTTTGGATAGGTTCGTGTTTCATTTGTCTTTTTCTTTAAAACAGGGTTTACATTCCCCTCAAAGGATTCTTCCTGCTCCTGCAAATTGGCTCTTGTTATTTTTCCTCTCCTCCCCTTCTCCTTTCCTTCTTTCCTTAAACTCTCTTCTCCCTTTTCTCTCTACCTGTCTTCATCTTTTGTCCTTTCTATTTGCCTTTTCACTCTTGTCTATAGTCTTATCCGCCTACTCTCGACTTCTTTATTGTCTTTAGTCTTCTATCTGCTGCTCTGTCGTTTGTTTTTCTAATTG